TTGTTCATTAATATTAATTAACAAATGTCTTTACAAAAGAAGGATACAAAATGTATCAATATAAGGAAATTAGTAGATAGAAAAAGTAATTTCCCAAGCTAGAGATGTATAACCTTCTTCTCTTAAATATCCATGAACATGAAGAGAGGTCCTTGACGTCATTCATCGTTGACATAGATATAAAGGAGAACCAAAGCCGGCCATACATATAGAATTAGGAAATTAAGTTTTCTATAAACTAATTTAAAAACACCAGAAACCAAAAAAAAAAAAAAAAACTGACAACAAAAGTACTTTGTAACCAAAGCTTCTAAAACAAAAAAGAGATGTTAGACACTACTCCTTCTGATCGGATTTTCCTCTAAAGCTCCTGCCAACATGAGAGCATTCTTCTTACTACCAGTTCCTGCCCATTCATATAAAGCAACATTAGTTGAGTTAATGATAGAGTGTGCAGAAAAAGATATTTGCTCAAAGATGAGCTTGTTTCTTGAACACCAAATGAACCAACATGCTGCTGAGAAGATAGTTCGCCACATAAGACCTTCCTTATTATGAAGAGAAACAACTGATGACAATAGACCATCAAGTGATGTAGGCCAAACGAAAGGTAAGCAGTAATCAGAAAAGTGTTTCCATACTGAATTTGCAATGGTACATGAAAAGAAGATATGATTGCTAGTTTCAGGGTGTATTCCACAAAAAATACATGAGGGTTCACCTTGCCAACCTTTCTTAATTAAATTGTCCTTTGTATGTAGACGATTCAAAGATAGAAGCCATGTGAAAATCTGAACTTTGCTAGGTAAGATTGGATTCCATACTACTTTGTAGAAAGCAAATGAAACACCTCTGGAGTTTAAGAAGTCATAGAATGACTTAACTGAAAAGCAACCATTAGATGAAAGAGACCATTTAGGAACATCAACTTTATTTTTCACTCTGAATGAAGCTAGAAGATGAATAAGATCAGATTTGGCTATATGTGAGTCTGGAGAAATGCTTCTTCTTAAAATAGGATGCCAGTGCCATATGTTATTCTGGAGGTACCCTTGACTACGAATAGATACATTAGAGGATAAGGCAAGATTGTATATAGATGGATAGAGACTTGATAAAGTATTATTACCAATCCATTTATCCTCCCAAAATCTGATATTTGTACCAAGTCCTATAGACCATGATATAAGATGAAAGAAAGCTTCTTTGTTAGAAATGATATCATTCCAAACCATAGAATTCTGGAATTTCTAGAAGATAACTGCAGAGAAGATGCCTTTCTGACATATAATTGGTAAAGGAAAGCACCTATGAATGAATCTCTGTCCAAACATTTCCATAACCATTTAGATAGTAAGAAGATATTAAACAGTTTTAAATCTTTCACTCATAAATGTTTTTAGATAAATCCTTCTCTAAGGACTTATCTATAAAGCCAAACCAACTTCAAATACACCTAATATAAAATGCCTTAGGAGGTATAATTCTTGCTCACAAGATGCAAAATAACCGGTTCAAAATCTTCTCCATTAAACCTGTAGAGTTTAATATTGTCAATTTCTTTAGTATAGTTTCTCATCATATGTAACGTTGGAAAATGTTTTTATATATTCTCAAGTTGTTTGATGTTTGACATTCACTTACTCTTCCAAATATTTCTCCATCAAAATTTGCCAGTGCATGCAAACTCATCTCCTTGATAAAACAAGGTACAGTACAGCTTTAGCTTATGCAACTCTCGAGATAAGGGTGCAATTTAGGTCATTAGTCAGGACTCAGGCCAGCTATCAAAGCCATGACTTTTTTAATTTGGGACCGAGATAATTATTTGCACTTGCAATGTCACCGTTACGCAAGAGACAACCAAGGATGTAAAGAATTCAAAGCCGAGTTCATCATACATAGAGCTATGCCTAATTTTTTTAAAAGTTTAAAACTATTTTCCATTTAGAATAATTAGAGTTTTAACATTTATAAAAGTCACAGAGATCCTCTACAAGCCATGCATTTTGCATCATTGGAGTAAAAAACTTGAGAAGTTAAAAATCATGGATATTTAGCAAATGCATCGTCTGTTTGTCATTTTCTATACACGGAATTGGGTTTGCCACATAAAGTAAACGCATAAAATATAATCCATAAAATTATGTTGATTTCAAGTGGATTTGTAAATTTAGTCACATATCCTGAGCAAAATTCGTGTACAACAAACAAAATTTAATTGGTCCCCCCCCTACATAATATCCATCATAAACAAATACGATTTTAATTATGGAATTTTCAAAATCCATTATTAATCGATGAACAAAACAACCCCTATGCTAATAAGAGTTTCTCATCCCGTGGACCCCGATGAATGATATATATTTTTCGGAAAATCACAGTGAATAATATTAGTTACATGGAATTATTTCAACTCTCTATTAAGTGTAGGGCTCACTAAATAAATTAATATTATTGATCCATATAACTAATTATAAAAATTCTCAGAGAATATCTTGATAATGTATAGAGAGTTTGAAGAGGGGGATTTCTTTTGCTAAAGGATAAGAAGAGACATTGATATAGGGATTTCAAGGCCCACTTTACTAAGAGAAATACCCAAGCCAATTTGGGCCAACTTTTGGGTCCACTGATGTGTTTGATTCAGCGGAAAAGCTAGGAAGCTGTTGGCGTGCAGAATAATGGGCTATGACGAAATGCCCCCACTTCGTTTGTCGTCTCACTTTCTGTCGCTTACCCTTTTCTTTCCCTTTTGCTGGCATTTATATTTCTGCAATCATGTTATTCTCATAGAAAAATATGTGAATGAGAGTTATAGATGATGAAAATAGTACTTTTCATCATTGTCTATCTTTTATTTCATGTATGTATATGTGGGGACCTTGAGTAGTACCATCATATCATGACTACATTCACTTGATTTCTTGGTAAGCATGCCACGTACAAAGTATCTCTACGGTGAGCACGAGCTATGACGGAATGTATTTTAGGTTAATCTCACAAAGCCCCCTCAAATTTGGTGGGTGTTGCACATAACCCTAATGGACTTTGTTTATCTCACATAATCACCATAAACTATGGTGTCTCACAACCCCCCCTGAGATTTAGCTTCTCTCATCTAACCCCCCTACCTGCAAATTGTACATAACTAAAATTTTCCTAAAAGAAAAAACTCAAACTTTAGAAGAAGGTGTATGTTGCTGGTAAATAATAGGTGATAAAGTTTGAAAAATTATCACTAAAAGATATTTTAGTTATTTGCAAATTACAGACAGAGGGGTTACATCAGATAAGCTAAAGATCAGGGGTGTTTGTAAGACACTCCATAGTTTAGGAGGGCTATGTGAGATAAACGAAATTCAGGAATGTTACGTGCAACACTGCCCAAAGATCAAGGAGGTTGAAATTAACCCATGTATTTATATAGTACACATTTATGTTGAAGAAAGATAATATCCAATATGTGCAAAGGAGAGAAATTGAATTTATGTTTTGCTCCTGATGGCTTCTTTTTACTTTTTACGACAGAGAAAAGGGGATATCAATCGTCAAATAAAAATAAATCATTATGGAATTACCTTCATAATAATCTCAAATCAAAAAATTAAAACAATATCATCAAATTCAGTTTTTTTTTTCACTAGAAGTAGATTGGGCTGGCCCAGTTAAGCAACTTAGGTCGCTGTTCGAGCATATCCGACTCCGAAGTTTGATCCAGTAGAATGGGGGAGCATGGTTCGGTCCAAACCGAAAAACCGATCGAACCGACCCGAAATTAGCGGTTCGGGTCGGTTTTATTTGTATATCGGTTGGGGTCGGGTTGAAAACTTTTCAACCCGAACCGCCCGAACCGAA